CTCTAACGCGTTTCAAATTTATTTCTTTTAGTTTTATACAATTACAAAATTAGTAATTTGAAATTTCATACAAATTGGTTGACAGTGTTATAGCGACCAATGAAAAAAAAGACTCAAAACATGATACGCCAAATTTTAGGGTGTTTGAGCAATCCATTTCATTTAATTTGGTTGAGTAATAAAAATTTTTGTCCAAGAAAATGGTCACATCTTTATATGATAAGGCGTGATATTCATAAGTATTGGTATAAATTATTTGTGGACATATAACACGCCGTCCTTTGTTGTTTATTTGTAAATATTTGTTAAAAGAGATAAGTAGTTGATTTAGTACTGACGATATTTTGTGAGTAATTTGTTTTCATTATTATAAAGGTGAAGAGTCTCAACATTTGGGAAATACTTTTGTGTTTTGAATGTAACTGAAATTGGATTAAAGTGAAACATATCGGGTATTTCTTGGAACTTCTTACATACAAACATCATGTTTTTAGAATCAAATTTACATCTTAAATATTTCGAAACCATCATCATCGAGTAGCAATCTAATTTGATACTTATTATTGTGTTATATTTATCAATTTACAATTGATATAAATTATAAACGTGAAATATAATTGTTCAGGCAGTGAAGTGAATGTATAAATTTTCAATAAAATACTACAATTGGACGAAACAAACTTCTGCAAAAAATTAACCTTTTGCAGCTATTATTTTGTTAAGACTCTTTTACAAAAAATAATTTATAAATTATATGTAAATTAATATCCGATCCTAACAAAATTTTTTAAAATTATAATTTAATATATTTAAAAGTGTTAATAATTTAGTAAAAACAATTTTTGATTAATTAATTAGTATAAATAAGATCTTTTTAAACTACTGTGACATATTTATTATTATTTTAAATTGTTTTATATTTGTATTTAAAGGGTTTCTTGAGAATAAGGTGTATCCTCATGATCAAAACTATTTTTAATATAACGTGTTTTTCTGAGGATACAAAAAAACAAATCCATAAGGTTCAGTTCTTTATAAAGCCCACTTTCATAACTCAAGTTATAATTTACATCTAGAACTGATGGAAAAAAGTCCGGTTTGATAAAAAAGTATGGCTCTTTATTTAACTATAGTAAAATATTGTTAATTATAAATAAAAAACATTTTGTTTTTTTTTCGAAAAAAACATTAATTAAAAATAAATTAATTAAAAAGATAAAACTATGAAATTATATATGGAAAAAAACCCAACTCGTGATGGATAATTTTGTAATTTTAAAAAACAAAGTTGATATTTTAAATACAAAAACTGAAATTGAATTGCAAAGTGCTCAATTCGCTTTACTAAATTAAAAACAAATGAATTACTACAGTGAATTGATTGAAAAAAAACTCATGTAAACGACACACTTTTGTTACTCAAAGTGATAGAGCACAAACCAATCGATTGGTTAAAAACTTTCGATCGATTCTACACAATGCAACAATAAAAATTATTATTTTTGCATTTCGAAGCAGCAGGTTTGTTACATCAACTGATTCCAATTGTCAAAATATCGTTTATGCCGGTCCGCAAAATGCCGTGAAAATTAAAAAAGTAATTGTCTCTCTTTCAATGCCTCAAACAGTAAAAACCAGTAAAACCTTTCATGTAAATGAACCAAAATGTAAAAAAAGATTGAGAACCAACACAAGAAATTCCTAAACCGTGTTTGTGTTAAGTACAATTTTGGGATTTGAGGACTAAAAAAGCATGTCTCGATATCTTAATTGAATTGTTCGTTCAACTCGTTTGTAATATGAATTTTAATAATAATAAAAAAGAAACAAAATACAAATAGTTGTTTATTATAAAAAATAGTTTATCTTATCGAGCTGGACTTTTTTCCACCAACTCTTATAATTTGAGTCAAAGTTAGATTTCAAAATAATGGAAATAATTTGTCATAAATGAGTGCATCGAGATACTATTATCTGAGAAAAATAAATTTGTAATGTGTTTTTTTGATTGATATCCTTGAGCCTTTTAACGTCATTATAAAACAACTCCAAACAAAAGAAACGTTTCTTCCCAGAGAGTGGGAAAAAAGTTGAAACTCTTGTGGCCAAATTTCAAATGTTTTCGGCTGCAGTTGACATGATGGATATTTCACAGTTTAAATTGACGAACGGAAACAGAGAAGGTGTTGATATTTCGGTATGGAAACTTTACGCACGGGCATTTGAAGTTGTCAACTCGAATTTCATGTTTTATTTTTCTTCGATCGCAACTTCCGAGCAATCAAGTACTGTTACTACATTTCAAAAGTTGTACAAAGTGTGTGGAACTGACGTTGTGAAAAAAAAACAACGAGAAATCGACTCAATAGAAGATGACATGTTTGTATGGAACAACTTTGAAGACATTTTTAAAGGACGAATTGAAATTACATTGAGTCGTATGTATCTTAAAGAAGAAATCCTGCGTTTGAGTTATAAATGTTTCGAAGATATTATTGAATAATTGAAACGCAAAAATAAACTAGATTGGGTTGATTTGTAAGATTTTAAAGATCTCCTGATTGAATACCCCTTTTTTAAAAAGCTTCTGGTTATATTTATGACAATGAATTTTACTTCAGTTAGGTGTGAGTCACAATTTGGTTTTTTCAATAAACACAAACAACCGAAAATGAACCAAACTACTCTGGAAGCCACTGTGTTGATTCTTTTCAATTGATGTTTGCTTTAATACTTAAAATAACGCCCTTATATTTGTTTTAGCCTGTTTTTCCAGGGATATTAATCCAATTTTGATTTTTTTATTTTTTGGCTTGTGTATAGTTTGTGCACATAATACAAACTCTAAAAAAAACAAAAATTTATTTAATAAACTCGATATTTCCTCGGTTTTTAGACCATTTGAATTTTGTTCAATGTTATTTGAAGTGTTAAACGATTTTTCTTTTTTTGATGCTGGTTTTACTCGTTTATAGTTTTTATTTTTATATAAAACACAACTTAGTGATTCTATAAAAACTGACATTGAATTATAAAGTTGTGTTTCCATTTTTGGCAAAAATTGTGTTAACGTAATCTAATTTTTAATCCGAAGTTTGTTTTTTATATTTTTCAAGTAAATTTTTGGTGCAAGATTTATTTGTCAAATAAAATTGAAAAAAACAAGTTAGTTATTTTGTTTTTTGAGTAAATGTTTATAACAAAAATGAGGGTTAAGCAAAAGAAAAATTACTTAGAAATTATTTGTCTAAAAAATCGGGACGTCTCAGTACAGAGTTTTGAAAAAAATAATACAATGATATCATAAAGAGTGTAATGTTCATAGACATAAATCGATGTTCAAAGACATGACAACACACTCAAAGAAGAAATGTAATGATCAAAGATATAAAATAATACTCAAAAACAAAACAAGCTACTCAAAGACAATAAAAATTATCATTAGACAATGCAATAATCAAAGACAAAGCGAATGATTTAGGGACTGTATGAGATGTTCATGAGTCATTAGAGTAACAAGTATTAATCTGATTGTTAATTATAACTTATTTATCTGATGAATATGTTATACAGTGAATAACACAATGTTTTTATTGAAATAAATATCAAATTGATATATAATATATAATGATAATCACCAATTGGTCTATTAACAATAGTAATTACAACAATGATAGCAATGGAATTGTAAATTACATCAATTATAAATGTTATGATAATAGATAATAGAACAAACATCTGGGAGTAATCATTAAAATTTTGAAATAAAAAGTTCCAATATTTTAACAGTTAAGTTTTAACAAAATAAACTATTGCAATAATATAATAATTTATTGTATAAACTTACTATAATAAATAATATTAATACCATTGAAATAATATGTTTATTTTTAAAAACTTAAATAGATAATATTTTATTGTTTATAGAGTCAGTATTTTAACGTTATCTAGTCTCAAAAGTAATGGACAAAAATAGCCCTAATACTGTCTAAATATCAGGCATTAGGTAAAACGTGAAAAAAACCGAAACAATTGGGATAGATTTTTGGGACTGCTTCCCGAAATATTTCAATTTTAATAGTCCAAAAGATATAAGATAACATTAAAAAACAGACGTTAGTTGTTCAATTGATGAATTGAAACATGAAAATGACAACGACTGCACCTCTTTTGTTGGTATTTCACCATCAATGAGTTTAACATCTTCTTGACTAAACACAACATTTGTGCACTCGATGTTTTGTGGAAGACCAATGCGTCTTCGTGACTCATTAAATCAAAAATGACCTTTTTGGAAAGTTATTGTTAAAATCACTCTTTGAATAATGATGGTAAGTCTCGATGTTTAGGAACAACTAGTATACCTATAGTGATATCAAAGGTATCATATAAAAGTGGTACATTTTACTTAATAAATTGAATTTTCGAATGACCATCATCATAACAACTTTGAAATCTTTGACACTTGCAAAGTATTTTTTCAATGATCATCATTGAGTATCAGTCAATTTATTCCATTTTATATTATTTAATCTACTTTACTAATACTATTATTATGTTATTTCATATCGACACGCGTGTTATAGTTTAACAATAATTACGAAACTACCAAATTACCACTTCTTATAATTAAAGAGTGGGAAGAGTTGTTGATTCTGAAGCGCTGTCATGACATGCACACACGTGTGTTTGTATTCATCAGGCATTGACGGCATAATCGGGTCGCCAGTGATTCGGTCTACAGCTTCTCCCCATAGTGGGCTTGCTTCACCAGTTTCTTTTCTTCCAATATTCCACTTTGAAAAATAAAAGTATGAGTCTTGTGGATATCTTGCAATGCCGTATTCAAATTTGGTGTTGAACTTTTTGATGTTATCAAAGTGTTTTTTATCTTTATTGA